CTGAAAGTGACGGCGAATTCGAAGAAGAGTACGTTGAAGCCGGCGACTTCGAGATTCTTAACGATGCCGGCGAAGTAATCAGGGAAAAAAGCGACGAGATTGTGGAAGAGAAAGAAGAGGAGATAGTAGAGGAAGTAGAAATCCCGGAGAAAGCTATAAGCGAAGAGGAATTAAAGCCAATGAAGGATTACATAGATCTTGATTCTCAAACGAAGAAGCCATCAGTACGACGGAGTTTTTGGTCGGCGGCCTCTGTTTTCAGCAAGAAGCTTCAGAAATGGAGACAGAATCAGAAAATGAAGAAGCGGAGAAACGGCGGCGACCATCGGCCGGGATCCGCTAGATTACCGGTGGAGAAACCGATTGGGAGACAGCTCAGGGATACACAATCGGAGATTGCTGACTATGGATTTGGCCGGAGATCGTGTGACACCGATCCTAGATTCTCTCTTGACGCCGGAAGATTCTCTCTGGACGCCGGAAGATTCTCCGTCGATATCGGACGGATTTCCCTTGACGACCCTCGTTACTCTTTCGACGAGCCGAGAGCTTCGTGGGATGGGTCTTTAATCGGACGAACAGCTTTTCCTCCGGCGGCGAGACCTCCGCCGCCTCCGTCGATGCTTTCTGTGGTGGAGGATGCAGCTCCGGTGCACCGTCATGTAATCCGATCAGATATGCAGATCCCGGTGGAAGAACCACCACCAGTAGCACCACAGGTGGTTAATTCAGCCAACAATGTATCGGACCCGGTTATAATCCCGGGCGGGTCAATCCAAACCCGAGACTACTACACTGACTCATCGTCGCGGAGGAGGAAGAGTCTGGACCGGTCTAGCTCCATAAGGAAAACCGCTGCAGCGGTTGTGGCGGATATGGACGAGCCACCAAAGTTGTCTAACTCGTCGGCTATATCTATAGATACTTACTCAGGATCACTGAGGGATCACAATTACGCAGCGGAGACGGCGGATAACGGTTTTTTCCGCGAACCGCCGTCGATAATCGGCGAGAGGAAAGGGAGTAGTAACGATAGTAACAAGAAGTCGAGAAGGTGGGGGAAATGGAGTATCTTGGGGCTGATTTACAGGAAGAGTGTTAACAAATATGAGGAAGAGGAGGAAGAGGATAGGTATAGGAGGTTAAACGGTGGAATGGTGGAGAGATCGTTATCGGAATCATGGCCGGAGCTGAGGAACGGAGGAGGAGGACCGAGGATGGTGAGGAGTAACAGCAATGTGAGCTGGAGGAGTTCCGGTGGTGGATCGGTTAGGAAAGGGAACGGATTGGAGAGGAATAAGAGTTCAAGGTATTCACCTAAGAATGGCGAAAATGGAATGTTGAAGTTTTACTTGGCTCCGATGAAAGGTAGCCGGAGAATGAGCGT